GCAAGGTTAACAGCTACATTTATTTATTGACATAAAAGCAAATGTTTATATAAAATTCCGAGGGCTCTATGAACATAAAGAACATGTACAAGTAGGATTGCTGTTCTATGTCTACATGCATGACTTTATTAACATAGCGCCAAAGTGACAAATGATATATATTCTGTGAAAGCAGAATTCAAGTCATTACTGCATTAGAATTGATAGTGAAAATATAAACAGTATGTAAACACAAGTCTTGACTTCACCCATACCAATGATGCTCACTAATTACATACATTATATACACAACCTTTTATTGTGAAAGAATAGTGACATCACTTACACAGAAACACAAAAAATTATGACATCATTCACAGAGAAACACAAAGAATGATGACATCACTTACTGATTTTACTCAGATGGCCATGAAATGTGAAGAAACTGGAATAAGACCTGCATGGAATTCAAATACATTCTGTGCAGAAAAGTATTTCATGAATTGTTATAATTTATAATTCAATATTTATGTGACCACGACTAGTAATGTGATTGGGCGATGTCTGAGAAAAACTGTAAAACGTCATTGATTGTGAATTCCAATACAATGTTTGCACCGGGATAACAGCGAGCTATCATGCTTTCAAAATACTTATACTGACAAATAAATTCATCTTGCATTGAATGCCATACAACCTGGAAAATATGAGATAGTGAGAAGAGTTAATCTTATGTTAATGCTCTCATAACATAATATTGCACAGCGTCTATGTTAGTAAGTTTCATATGACTGACATTTATCAGTTATATAAGTTTAGAAATAACGACATATGAATCACATAAATACCTGTAATAAGTTCTCCTCTTCACACAAATTCTTTTCAACTTTTTTGTACAAACTATCAATTCCTTTCTTTACCTAATGGGTGACAAGATGCAAATGCAATCATCATTTGCTATATACAGATTTGAAATGCTAATAATTAATTGATTCCATGTACAACATCTGATAAATTTAGTTGTTTTAATCAAGATAAACCTTAATCTGCTCAAAATGCTTTGCTTAACGCTCTACAGAATGCCTGTGCTATTTATATAAGTAGATGGAATGTTAACATATTTAGTGCTATTCAGAATATGGAAACATCATCACTAAATACAGGTTATAAGACAATCTCTGAATAACACAATATATGCATTCATATAACACAAGTATATACCAATTCTCGGTATGTGTGTGTTAAGCTGTCAGTTCAAAGACCTTGGTAATTGCAAATTCACAGAAGTAGATTATTAGTGACTGTGAGTTAGCAGATAATAGATGAATGCGAGTTCACATGACCAAATAATGCCAATATACTGCCTCCCTAAGATTGCAGCTTTATCGAGATCTCGCGTACTGAATACTGCCACATTTATATTCTTCCAAAATAACATAAATCTTTCTCTGCAGTGCATTCATCATATCCATAAACACTCTACGGTTTGAGTCATATACATCTGCTTACGTTCCACCAGCATTGCCACAAATAAGGTAAATGCCGCATAACATACCTCTTTGGCGGTGTATTCCTTGATAACTTTTCTTAATTCTTGTTTACTAAATGCTAACTGGTATCCGACTTCCTCTTCTTTAACACCCTGTGCGACACGAGCCTCGATGCCTTCAAAAAAATTCTAAAGACAATAACATAGCATATCAAGTTTACAAAGAAAACTTGTTCTACTACAAAATAAGTTTTCAAAATAAGTATAATGCATCCAGAATTTGAATAGTGTTCCTCTGTAATTCTGCCAATGGCGCTCCACAACGACCTTTAACCTTTTCACCACCAGTTCCATCTTTTCATCACAAATTCACAAAAGAGTCCTGTTTATAGTCTGCACTTCCCTTCAGAAGATTGGGACAAATACAACCAAATTTTTTTAGCAAAAACTGAAAATTATCCATTGACAAATTTTGTCTGTTGGCTTCAAAATTAGGGTTCATTTTCTAGTAATATTTAAGGATATAAGAAAAAAGTGCAGACAAATTTGGGCTGGTGGTATAAAGGTCAACTCTTCTTCACCACGCTATCATTTGATATGCTGCATAACATACATAATAATGAGGTATACATACTGCCTGGTGGTGAAAAGGTAATACCGTAAAATCTCTCAAATAGGCACAATTTTAAAATCTAAATCAGGTTTTCCAGTCATTGATGCCTATTCAAAAGTACAACGTTTATTGGGGGTTGTGTGAATGGGTAAACTGCATTTCGACAATGAGCTGTTATCACCGAAAAAAGTGTTAAATTTGTTTTTCAATGCTCAGTTTATCTTTTGAAGCAACTAATTTCTTG